CCACAACACATTTTTCTTGAATTTTTTGCAAATGAATATCCTTACAGCTGTATGTCCCCAATCTTAGGTAGGAGCATGTTTAACTTCAGCAGAATATTTTTATGGATTGAAAGCTTATATTAGCAAATTTGTGTTTTCTGCAGGTAGGTTTGAAAAAAAAAAAAAAAAAAAAAAAAACACCTGAGAGTTTGGACGCCAACAAATATATAAATGACAGTTGATTAAAATAAAAAAAAAAAAAATATATATATATATATATATATATATATATATATATATATATAAAGCAATTGAGAAATTTATTTCTGCAAAAATTATAATCAGCTATTTTGTTTTTACTTAAAAGAAAACATCTTGACAAATTGACATTTGAAAGCTCTTTTATTTCAGTAACACAAGACCAATGACAACTGACTATATGTGAATCTTCTGAGATATGGCACTAACCTGTAGTTTTCAGAAGACCAAAGTGGGTTTCCCACCCACCCCTCCACCCTTTAATTATAGGGACTGGAAGGGCCATTTTGTTCAATTGGGGCAGGGGAGGAAAAAGAAGAGGAAGAGAAAGGGGGTGTTTTCTGATTTAGATTTATTTTGCAAATTAATGAAGTCATTCATGTGATTTAAAACTAAGAAAAATGAATAAGTGAAGAAAAAGTAAATGAATATTCCACCCCATGTTTAATCAATGATCATTGTTCTTCAAAGATGGGAAATAAAAAAAAAAAGAAAAAAAAAAGAAAAAAAAAGAAAAAAAAAAGAAGTAAAAAAAGCTGGAGAGATGTATGAGGGCAGTAAGACAGAATGAAGAAAATCATGAGTAGAAAGAAAAAGAGGTGGATGGAGAGAGGAAAAAAAAATAATAAAGGGGAGGAGACAGGAACACAAGTTTTGAGTAATTTTTCTTTTAGTCTATTACAGACCTGGACCACTACTTGAAAGGTTTCTTACTCAAGACCTGAAAGAAGGGAGTGGAGATTGATAGAGGCAACTAAGTGCATATCTGAGGAGCAGGGTGGGGTAAAAAGGTGGTGGGAGGTGCAATATGCATTCTGCTAGTTGCTAGGCAACAACAGCAAGAAATTTTTAGACCACTGAAGAAAAGGCGAATTTTGAAAATTCAGAGATTAATTAGGGTCAAGAAAAAAAAAAAAAAAGAAAAGTTTGTTACAGGGGAGGAGGGAAAATTTTGGTCTTATTGGCCAAATATTTAAATTTCACTTCACATGCTAGAAGTTTTATTTCCACCACTTCCCCACCATTGTTCAATGTTTTTATTTCTAAATAGAAAAGAAAAAGATGAAAAGGTATTTAAAAAATAAAAATAAAACAATGAAGAACCACTACACTATTGTTAGTATAAATTAAACTTAACATTTTGTTTTAAAAAACACATCAGAGTAAATGAGCAAGATGTGTTGGGGAGGGATGTACACATGCAAGAAAGTGACAATAAATCTTTTTCATTTTCTTCAAACAAAATGTGGAGAGAAAAAAGAAAATCAAATTCTAGATTTCTACCATAAGAAATAAATTCTTAAATGAAGATGGGAGGTTGGAATGAAGAAAATGGAACAACTTACTGCTGAGGAATTGTCCAGGATTTGGAGAAGAATAAAAGAACAAGGAAGAAGAAAAAGAAAAATACCGTTTTTTTGTTTTTCAAGAATTTGTAACTTAAACTAAAAAAAAAAAAAAAAAAAAAAAATGCTGCCATAATTTAAGAAAAAAAAATTTCCACTGCATGAGCAAGTCATCCTGAAACAGAAAAAAGAAAAAAAAAAAAAAAAAAAAAGGGCCTGGGGAAGTAGCGCCAGCACCGGGAGGGGTGAGGGAATAGAATATAAGAGAGCTCCCTCCCCACACACTATTTTGTTGTCACCCAACTCCCTCCCACCATTACCAACTTGTTTATACAATAATGGATACAGAAAGTTACAGAAAGAAACAAAATATATCTCTAATACATTTTGTTTAAATCAGGAAAGAAAGGGAAAAAAAAGTTCCAGTCTTGTACAAGTAATGTCAGGAAAGAGTACAGGACATTTGAATGAGAGGTTGGTAGAGGGTAAAAAAAATGATACAAAACAACATGAGGGAGGTGGGGACTGATGAGAGGAATTTATCTTTTGATACCTAAATACTTGTAAAGATGTTCATTTGAAAAGACAGAAAAAAAATCTGAAATTGAGTAAGGAAGCATTTCAAGGTCAATTCAGACAATGAACAAAGTTTGGAGTTCGTATCATTCCTCATTTTTTATTATTTTTACTGTTAATTTTTGGCTGGTGCTGCTTCCAACATTCCTTATGTTTAGGTCACACTCAGGAATCCTTAATTATTCACCCAACCCTAATCACCACTGATTAAGATTCCTCTGGTCTAGTGAGAGAGGGGAGTTTAGGCAGGTGCTAGATACAGCATATTCCTAAGGAAGACCAGATAGTCCACTGGTAAAACTGTAGTCATCAAAACAACATAGGTGAGGATGCTGGTCAAAATATTTTCATCAAATAAGAGATCAGATTTTTCTTATGTGTTCAAGAGATTAAACTTTCTACAACAAAAACTGATCAACTGGAGGTGTATATAGACTTTTATTCTACAAACAAGAAAACCTGACATCACCACCAGTACTCTGTGGTTTCTCTCCCTTTTCTAATTGCAATCAACCCTTTAAGAAAATATTTCTATATACCTGCATACACAATATCAGTCCAACTGTGTGTATGTAAGAGAGAAAGTCTAGTTTTATTAATAAATGCAAACTATTTTGAATGACCTCTTCCTCATCACAAATGAACAATCACCTTCAGAAAAGAAAAACTTTTTTTTTTTTTTTAAAATGTCAGTTCAAATATTAACAGCTTTTCATTTGTAAAATTTTTGTAACAAAACTATTTTAAATGTTTGTCTAAATCAATGATGTGAACAAGTTGAATAATACAAAAGATTCGATTTTATGTTGCCCAATGACATGAGAATGTATTATTTAAAACAATTATTTGTATCTCAGTTCCATACTTTCATAGTTATTTTCGATTTTGTATGGAATTAAAAACAAAATATGCTTAAACAGGAAGACATCTAAAGCACTGGTAATTGTTAATTATTTTTGACTTTATATGAAACTCGTAAAGATTTTGAAAAAAGAGAAACTAACACCTACTTCAAGCCAGTTGACAGAACAAGATACAACTTTTTCTGAATGTGTTACAGTTTAAGATGTTTAAGTAACTTCAACAGACACATTGGCTCAGTGTAGCGGGGGTGGGGAGAGAGAAATGCTCACAAATTTATAAATGTTCAATACTTTTACATTTCAGAAGTTAAATTTCGATACTTCTAGAGAAGTTTGTCCTAATTTGATGTATGGAAAAACTTTTGGCAATCTACACTAAACACAAATATAGTGTGTGTGTGTGCGTGTGTGTGTGTATATGAGAGCAGCCAAGTATTTCCTTCAAAACCTGACTGGTAATGTTTATTACTTTTTTGCCGCTAAGCTCTTCAATTATGAATATTAAATTTAATATTTTAAGGAAATGGAAAGTTACTTCTTTTTCTTTCAATGATCAGATTTGACTGAAAGAAATCCTAATTTATATTTTAGAAGTTGACATTTCTTAATTATCAGAACAAATTCAAAACATTCCAAAATAATAATTAGAGGACCCATCTTCAAATGGAATCTTATTTTTTTTCTTTTTTTTTTTTGTTTACTCATTCCTATCTTCATCCCTTTGCAGCACTTACAATTGATAACACTTCTGACTGCATTTTGTATAAAAAAAAAAAAAAACTTACTGCACACAATTTTGAGTATTGCAGAGGAATAAGCTAAAGACGTGTGTGCGTGTATATATATATATATATATATATATATATATATATATATAAAGGACAGCCCCACCAAAAAAAAAAAAAAAATTATAAGCAGAAAGAATCCATATTCGATAGATACCCACCCCCCATACCCTGCAATCTTGTACACCTGATTAAAACCACACACTTTGTTATGCATGGACAGCCACCTAATTGCCACCCTGTTATGTGCAAAAACAGAAAGTGTGTGTAGGGGAACAAGGTGCTTATGATGAAAGCACCAAGGAAGCAATATAATTAAAAGCATCGAGAGCTAAAAAAATGATACTGCTACCAAATTGGGGCTTTGATCATCATCAACAGGTACAGCTTAATGCACAACAAACATTCAAATTTAACAGCTATACACACTTACCAAGAAAAAGGAAAGAGGAGAGAAATGATTCAAGAAGTTGTAAGGATAGGGTTGGGTAATTTCTGAAGACAGGGCTTGACAGTATCAAAAAAAAAAAAAAAAAAAAAATTTAAAAATAAAAATTAAATTAGAAAAAAGAATGATTTACATAGAGAAACTATTTAACAGCAACTCAGACTGAGGTGTGTGTTGAGTAGAGTACAGGATATCATCCTCACCACCACGGCCCATAGGTATTTTTTTTTTTTTTAATCTTCTCTTTCGGTCCTTGTTTTCTTCATGCCAATTTCTCGAACAAGAACAAAAAGTAAATTAAAAAAAGGGGGGGGATATTTTGCTTTTTTATTTTTAAATTATTTGTGACTTTCTCCTCTCTATGGAATTAAACTGATGAAAATCTTTCATGAATTATAATGGCATAATTTTTTTCTATATAATTATCTTGTTTCAGATTGACCTTAGCAAAATATGGATGTTGACAAAAAAACAAAAAAAAAAAAAAATAAAATAAAAAATGGGAGGGGGTAGATATTGATCAAGACTGCATTAAAAATTTTTCCTTTCTTTTTAATCTTGCTGTGTTGATGGGAGATGCAAGAATAAGTGAAGGCCAGACAACAATCAGATTCTGAATCTTCAACAATATCATTCAGGGAAATGAAAAAGAGAATAGGAAAGTTAAGGAGTTTGGGGGGGCGTCTAATGAAGAAAATGAAAGAATACAATAGAATTTTTTTTGTGGAGGAAAATGACAAAAGATTTAACACTGCCCCACTACTTTTTCACCAGGGAAATTGAGAGAGAGAGAGAGAGAGAGAGAGAGAGAGAGGGATGAAATTTGCTCCAGTGTTGGAAATATAGATATCCCCTTTTTACTTCATTATTAGTTGTAGCGGCTGGTGGCGGAGGAGTAGTAGTAATAGTAATAATAATAATAATAATAATAATAATAATAATAATAATAATAATAAAAGTAGTAATATCAAGAAATCAAAAGATGTTCATAAATGAGGAAAGGGAGAAGGAAAAAATTAAAAAAAAAAAAAAAAAAATTTCAGATATTTTATGCAGACACTTCAGTTGTAGCAGTGTCACCTTCTGCAGGCTTTAGCTGAATATCAGGAACATCTTGAGACATTTCAAACTGGTCTTGTTCTATAGGCTTCTGAACCCAGTTCCCTAGGCCAGCCTTCTGGAATGCTTGAAAAACACACTGCTTGGCCAGTTGGTACTCCATTACGGCAGCCTTTGCCTCAGAATAAAGTGTTGGCCGAGTGGTCACCGACTGACCAGTCAATGAAGACAGTCTGCCGTATAAGTTCATGAATCGGTCAAATAAGGCTTGCTTACAAATTCTGGACATGTTGCCTCCTTCCACACGGCCAGTCATGGCATTGATTACCTCAAATGTGTCATCATTCCTGCGCCAATTGATACCAAAATTTGGGGCTTTGCCTGGCTGGCGACTCTCGGGACTGCTAATGCCACTAAGGAATGGTCGATTAAGTTGGAACAGATCGGGTAGATTTTCGATACCTGCAATACGGCAGTAGACTGCACGGGATAAATGGTCACTGTGGTATAAACTGCCAAGGATTATACTTTCCAAGTAGATTGGATGCATAAAGTGACATAACAAGGCTCCTAAAAAAGAAAAGGAAAAGAAATGTTAGTTTTGGTACTTACTAATGACTTTACTATAACAAACAAAAATAAAAGAAAAAAATAATATATATATATATATATATAACTTGGTGTTGATATTTCATATTGTCACATTATGATTTAGCTTTGATGAAATCTGAGAATTTTATCAACAAATTCATAATCATATCTATTAAGCTAAGGTTTGTCACATAGGAAACATCAACCCTAACACATGGGATGCTGTAACACCCACAAATGATCATTCTGAAAGAAGGCAGTGCACAAAAAATTTCAAGTTTCACATTTGCCCAACAGTCAGTGGTAAGACTACAATGGAAGAGAGACCCTAAAGTCTGACAGACCAGTTTAAAAATGTGGGAGAGACTGCCAAGCTACAAGGGATGCTGCCTCTGAATCATCATCCAGAACACAACTCCATTGCCCAAGATTGATATAGAATGATATAAGCAGATTTGATCACAGGTGTTGTTTTTGTAATTTTCTCTATGTCACAAAATAATTTGGCTCTGTATATGTAAAGCCTACCTATGTGAAAAAGGCTCTTTCAGCAATCATTGTTGGTTATTTTCACAAGAGGAGTGAAGCAGTTTTGAAATTAAAAAAATAAAGAAAAAGAAAAGCTTTTAGCATATTTGTACAGGTTTTTATTTTAAAAAAAAAAAAAAAAAACAAACATGTACTTTTATGTATTGGTTGGTTAAAATAAGCCTGGCTTGTGGCCGCCAATATTATGTAAAAAAAAAAATAAATAAATAAATAAATAAAAAAAAAAAAAAAAAACCTGACTTGTGGCCTTCAATAAATAAAAAAAGCATGGCTTGCTGTATAAAATAAAAGTTTATATCCAATATAATTCAACTCTGCAAATGTTTACAATGTATCTGCTCCACTCAATTAGGCAATATATTTTTAAGTACAACTGGTTTTGTAAATACTGAGGGGATGAAAATAGCAGCTTTAAAAACAGGGGGAGAGAACTCAATGGATTAACAATCCTGCCCTGATGCACCAAAGTGCAAGAGTTGGAGTGGGGAGCAGCACATATTGTAAATAGTATAAAGTTCCAAATATAAAACACCTATGGAAAGCCAACTGCAATAAAAATGATCCATCATACCTAAGTTCTCTCTGCACCCATGAAATGATGATAGTAATAAGAATAATAATAATAATGAATAATGATAATGATGGACAATGGATAATGAATTATGATGATGCATAATAATAATAATGATGATAATATGACAATAAAGATAATGATAAATTCTAATAATGATGATGCTGATAAATGATGATAATGATGATGACGACGATAAGCAACATGGTTACTGTTCAAGCTCAATATTTACCAATACTCTTTTGTTGACTCTTATAAGCTGGGCAGGCCAACCAAAATCTTTCCTCATATTCTCATTGTTCATAACCATGGCCAGTTTGATCACCTTTCAACTGACTCTTCTCCAGTTTAAAAAAAAAAAAAAAAAAAAAAAATCCACAACCATATATCCTACCAGAAACCCATTCCTTAAAACCGATTCATAACTACAATCCTGAAAAAAAAAAACAAGCAGCAATATTCAATCTAAAAAAAAAAAAAAAAAAAAAAAAAAAAAAAGAAAGAAAGAAATGCTGTTCATCTCACTTACCTTGTATTCCTAAGACATTCCATCTTGCAATCTTATCACTGCAAGACATTGTTAGTAAACGCTCTCCTTCCAAAACACCATCCCATGTCTGAATGAAGCCTGATGATCGCACCGGAATCGTGCCTTCTCCAGACTCGATTTTTGTTCGCAGTTGGCCACGGGCCTTGCGATTTGGGTGCCGGTCACCTGTCTCAACATCCTGCCCATGGGGTGAGAAGATCCGAGCATCGCCACAGGGAGCCGTGCTGATGTAGAGATGAAAATGGATGCTTGGCTTGAGCTTGTAGCCTCCTCCATCACGCAATTCAAAGACGGACTGGCCTCTCACTTCAGGGTCCTCAGACAAGTGCATCTCAAGTTGATCGTAGATAAAACGTAGAAAGCAACGCCGAGCAATTATCTCGGCATGGCAATCGTTGACGGCAAAGCCACGATCATTCATGTACTCGCCGTTGATACATTTCGTACCAGTCCCAATACCAATTACTTGAGACCCTTGGCCATCTGGACCAGTGGTCATTACAATGCCTGCAAGAACTTTTCTTCTCGAGTACTGGCTTGTGTAGTTGTCTGTCAGTTCGGAAAATTTTTCATGGACAACCTTGGCAATAATGTCCGCTAGAACTTTTGACGTTTCTTCTACACCATCTTTTGGTACTGGTTGAAGGCCTATAAATCAACAAACATACAAATGCAAATAGAAACGGTTTTTAATATCATTTGGGCAAAAAATATTGAATTAAAATGTTCACAATTAAAAAAGCTATACATTTAAGACAATAATGGCAATTTAAGCAACATCAAAAGAAATAATTTGATAGGAATGATCCTAAGTTTACAAATTATACAAGGAAACATTGAATAGTTTATTTAAGTGTCAAGCAATTAAACAAATTATAATGTGAGCAAATGATTAAAAAAAAAAAAAAAAAAAAAAGATAGCAAAAAGCCGAGACAAGCACAGAATTGTAAAAATTCAAGGGAATGTGAAACTTTTGTTCAATTATGAGTGGGTTTGCACATATTCTTGCCAGAGAACATTTTGAGATGCCCTGCCATTTAGTGTCAATGGTCAGACAAATTGAAAGAATAATTCCAAATCAGCTTCAGTTCTGCATATTACAGAATTATTCTTAATCATCAAGAGAAATGAATACCAAAGAAAATCTCTATATAAATGCCCAATTTTGTAAACAAGTTAATTCAATTGCAATATAATGGCAGGCCCAAAAAGTGTTTCATTTTTAGTTGAAAACTATGAAGGATGCTGCCTGTCATGTAATATTGCCTCATCTAATTTTCACCAGTTTTTGTCAAAACTGATGAGAGGGGGTGCAGAAAATTCAGAAAGATGAGAAAGAGCCTATTTGAAAGATAACCTCTTGACTTAGAATTGGAGTGAAAGTTACAAGCATGATTTGCCTGGAATTTAAGTTCTCTGGAGTTGTGCATTAGCAAAAAGGGACTAAAAAAAACACACTAAAAGTGAAAGTGATGACAAGATGATAGGAATGTTTTTGCAGAGTTTGAAGAGATTTGCATCCTACAAACTTTTAGGTTTTAAGATGGAAAGGAAGAAAAACATTCAAAAGGATTTAGAGGGTAGAGAACTACAAACTACAGGAACAGCAGATAACTTCAGGAGGTGCACACAGACACACACAAAAAAAAGAACAACAACAAAAAATACAAAACCATTTTTTTTAAGCCTTTTCAGTGATCAACTTTAGCAGTCAGGGTACAGATACTAACAAGGATCAAATGAAAACCATTGACAAATTCATGAAGAGATAAGAGACCACTTGCCCAAGTCTTTTGCTTAGTGTTGGACTGGCTGTACTGAAGAATTATTCTGTACAATAAACATCTAACAAGTCTCAGACAGGTAGAGAGAAAAAAAATAAAATTGAAATAACTCTTTATATTCTACTTTATACAACTTTTTCAATAAATTCATAATTTTTTTTAAAAGCAACATTTTACTTACAGCCTTTTAATTTTTTTTTTTTTTTTTTTAGTTATTCCATAATTACCCTGGTAACCCCACTCCCATTCCAGCAATCCAAAGAGATCAACAAGAACTTTTGGATTATATAAATTGCGATTTTTAGGCCCTAGAAGTATCAAATAGCAAAGCTCTAATAAATCAAACAAGCAAAGGGTACAAAAAGAAAATGGCTTTCTTCAAATAGCCAGTCTAGCAACAAGTGTTAGGTCCAACTTAAAAAAAAAAAAAAAAAAAAAAAAAAAAAGGGTGGGGGTAGAAAAATGGCTGAGAAGCAAGAAAGAAAGCAAAAATAAAATAAATAAAAAACTAAAGCAATAAAAATATGTATTACATCTTAAGAAAAAAAACTTTTTTTTTTTTTTTTTAAAGAAGGCTGGAAATTGTTACAAAGCAAGCAGCATCGTTAAACACTTAACAAGCCATGCCCACTACACACAAATTAAGAATCAGAGATCAGGTGTTGAAGCAAAAAAAAAATGTTTTTAACCCACTTTTTATGACAATGTGAAGTTACACATGTGAAACTCAACAAGATGAAGACCTTGCTTCATGTAGATAAACAGATGTACTATGTAACAACCACTGACAAAAATCTACTACCTTTGATGAAAGATATCTATAAATGCTGCCATTATTCCTTGGGAAAGATTTATTAAAACCTGGTTTTATCAGTACATAATCTATGGTTTTACTGAATTAAGCTTTCTAAATTAAGTTTTAATGACATTCACTTGCAATGTTTTAAAAGTTCATTTTTGATCTTAATAGAGCTAAGATTTTTCAATTGCCTTTAACTTGGCGACATCAAGAAGCTTTGTGTTTCCCATGTCATATTTTTTTTTTTTTAGTTAATATCTAAAACACTCAAAGATTATATATACAAGAAGTGTAGGATGATCCAGTAGTTCATATCTTAGAACCAAACAGCCAGACAACATGCACATATCATTTGATTTTTAGTGGTGAAGACTTGTGCAGAACCAGTCAATCTTCCCAAAAGAACTGAATACAGAGAACCGGTACACATTGTGTGCCATAAGGTCCCCAAACAACCATTCTCAGGTTTTGAATTCAGATTTGTCTCTTTTCCAGATTGGTTGCCAACGAAGGTTAAAGAGCCCAGTCTGTCCTATTTAACCCATAGATAGGGAGAAAAGAGATGAATTTATACTTTTCCCCAAGGGTAATTGTATATAAATGAATATAACAAACTCAACTGATCTCTCAATCCAAGATGTATCCATTACATTACCTGCACATAAGGGGGAGATAGTGTCAAGTAAGTAAAAACTTATAATTAACATCATTTGATTAGGTATTGACCAACTTTAAAATTTGTGCTAAAAGATTTTAGACCTTTAAGATACTGAAAGCTGTTAAGTGTTAAATAATTCAATGCTGATGGAAACAAAGCCATGTTTAAAAAAATAAAGAAATGCCCAGCCATAACAAAGTTTAAATGCAAAGAAAGAAGAAAAAAAAAAAAAAAAAAAAAAAAAAAAAAAAAAAAGCACATATATTCAGGACAAAGCATCAAGGAAAAAACTTTTCAAATTCAAAACAATTGTGCTCAACACACACAAAAAAAAAAATTTAGCATTTCAATATTTAAACCACACGCAGAAACTGAAAAAAAAATGGGCTTCAGTTTAGACTTCTACCAAGTAACAAAACTGGAGTCCAACAAGAAAAAGAAAAATTTTCAGTTTCTGAGACATCAAAAAGAAAGAAACAATTAAAAACATGATCTTATCTATTGTGCATAATAAGTTTTTGACAAGATCACAAGAGATGAAATCAAATGTCAGTGTAGGGGGTCTGTAAAATATTGAAATGTTCAACATTAACAGATATAGAGAGGTAGATATGGAGATATATCTATATACACAGATAAACCTAAGGTTTTGTTGGGAAACTGATTTAGAATTACTTGGAGTTCTCAGGTCCATCAACTGAAATAAACCACAGAGGATTTAGAGTCAGCTACCAATATAAATGGGCAGAGGTAAAAAGCTTTCAAGATTTAGCAAGAGCAAGATACAGAGAAGGAGAAAGAGAGAAATTATTAGTCTTCATTTTTTTTTTTTTTTAAAGGCTGATTTTTATGGTGAAGAAGGGTAGTTTTTAAAGTAAAAAGAGCATCGAAAAACAAGAACCAGGAGTAATATTTTAAAGTTTAAACTCCTTAACATAAAGGGTAGGAGGATAGTTTATGAAAAAATTTATATTTTTTATATCATTTTTTTTTTTTTTTAATTATTAATACTGCAAAAATATAATTTACAGCATTAATTATAATTAACTCCACTAAAATCAGTTAACTTCTGGTCACTGAATTTAAAAAAAAAAAAAAAAAAAAAAATACTCAATGGCAAAAATATTACAATAATAACATTTCTTTATATAAAAAAAGTGTGGGTTGGGGTTTATAAGCAAGTGCAAGTCAATGTATCTAAATTATTTTTACCCAATGTCATTTGCTTTTTATGCCAGTTTTATATGAACCCAATTCAGTTCTACTTGCTTTTCACAAGTGAGTTTTAAAATCATTTCACCCACCCACCAAGCAAGGCAACAAAGCCACTAAGAATAGGGGTTACAGAGCATGAAAGAATGAGAAAAAGAATACATTAAGTAAAGAGAATAATAAAATAACAGGAAATATAAGAAAGAAGATAATGATTGCATTTAATTTTTGAAAATCATAGTTGACTGGAATGCAGAAAAGCTTAATTTTAATTATATTTTATTGCAATTGAATTTCATTATATGAACTATATAATCATGGCCCTGAGATTTAATAAAATGCAACTGAAATTATGAAATTAATGCTGGATGGAAAGTAACTGACTGCTTCTTTAAATTAAAGACAATTTCTACTCATCAATTTTAATTCATTTAAAGTGCCAGCGTGGCAGTACAGTTAATTAGCAAAATGAAGTTTCAACAAGTTGTATACCAGCCAGTTTTAATTGCACATTACTGCAGGATAAGTGCATATATGAAATGCTCGTTATTTTTGTAGTTATATTAGAATTCTGCCTGTTTCTTAGTTAGCATGTACATTACATCCTGCCAATACCTCATTAATAATGGATTATTCCATACTGTTTGGTATCAGTGAGAAAAATAAGATAGAGGCGATAACACGTGTTTAACATCTGCTTCAGAGAGATGGAAAAGCTTAATACTAATGAAACTTATAATAATTATTCCTTTTGTAATTTTGTAAGCTCTTTATGTCACAAAGGCTGATTACAAAGAATAGCTTCACAAAATCTTAAAATTGCTAAATTTATGTACTATTAAACAAATTTCTTAGATGAAGCATTATAACCTTTCACTTTTTTTGTTACTTTAACAGATTAAGCAAACATGGATCAGAAAGTCAAAATAAATAAATGTGCAAATCATTTTATTCCATATATATATAT